AATAATTATTTAATCGAAATTAATATACCGTAAATTTTTCTAAGGGAAGAATTTGAGAGGTGAGTCTCCTCGATTCCAGTTATTTCGATTCTGACCTAGATTCTCTATTGATGTTCCAAAATCAAACGATTTAGGATTAAGTTCAAATTTAAATGATGCATCTTTCAGATAAAAAAAAAAATTAGAAAAGATAAACGAATAAAAATAATGCATTTTTTAACTATAATTTTTATTATTTACCAATTTATTGTTGCTTTCAAGACTGTTTTTATAATCATATTAAACGTAAACCCAAGAAAAATTTTTAAAAATTAAAGGGATTAATGTGTATTGGGTTTATATAAATTTTGAAAAAATAGGGGGTTATGTTATCGGTATGGCCTAATTGGCAATCACGTGTTGATGCGCATTCGGAAAATTCTACATATGGAGTGTTTCCTTTTAAAAGAGCCCATTTTTACATTTGTCTCATTTTGAGATAATTGAGTTTAATTATTTGTTTTGATTTTCGAACTGATCCGGATTAATTTAATTTCACGATTTTGATTGGTTAAAGGTAACAGGTGACTATCGGGTAATCTCGTGATGCGTTTGCCTTTGGAATGTTACCCATAGGGATGTTAAATTGGTCCAATTCATATCATATGATCAGAGGTCGACGATCTGAAACGTGATTATCTGAAACGTGATGATCTGATCTAAAACGTGATAACCTGACTCATAACCGGCAATTTACTCGATACCACTCCGAGTTTAATAGTGTTTTGGTTTTTAACAATAGTGGCTCATGATTTTACTAACAGATAGTTTATGATTTCAATTGTGAGTTATGCTTTCAACAATTGATGAGTTGGTAATTTTAATGATAGGTTTGTGCTTTTAACAACGAGTTAAGATTTATTAATAGATGGTTTATAATTTAGTAATGGATAGGTAGTGATTTCAATAGCTTGTGTTTTTATTTTAGTAATGAGGTTTTAAGTCAATAATGGTGTGAATGAGTGGGGAATTTAACAGTTAGTTTATGATTTCAGTAACAGGTGTTATGAAATTTTTCATAAAAATTTTTATTACTACATATTCTTTCGTAATATCTTTTATTAGTAATAGTAACTATTATGTAATTAAAAAATAAACTAATATTAATACCGTCTAATGACACTTTAAAAATAAGACCTAACACTGTGATAACAATTTTAAAACAAAGACCAATCGATTTATATAAATAAAATTATTTTTTCATATTTCTTCTTCTCTTTTTAGGTTGGTTGTCTTCTTTTTGATTATTTTCATTTTTATCATATTCAGTATCTAATTCCATATTATTCTTTTTTTCAAATAGTGAATTAGGTTTGTCATCAGCAATAGTTAAAGAAGATAATATCTTAGATGAATTAGAAGTTACAATGGTATCATGCTCAATAAAAGATTCTTTGGACGATTGATCAGTAATAGAATCAATGTCATCTGCTATAATATCAATAATTAAGCGAGTGTTTGATAAAGTATTAGAAAAATTTTTGGAAATATTAAAATTTAAAGGTAACGGTCTTGAATAGTCGATGTCAGTAGCTTCAATTATCATCTTGTCAGAATTCGAAAACTTGAAAAAACCTGATATAAGGTAGGTATTTTCTACTTTAATATTAGATCCTAAAAACTCCAAATGTTTAAATTTTATAGATTTGGAAGAATAAAAAACAGTTATTTCTATTTTAACATTAGTGAACCCAGTAATAGAATTATATTCTACACATTCAACACCAAAATAGACAAACTCTTTGATTTTTTTGGGTTACGATTAACAAGAATAGAAAACATATAATATGGAATACAAATCAGAACATCGATAAATTTAAATTCATAATTAGTATATCCATTATAAAAGATAGTCGTATATGCAATAGTCATGCATTGTTTAGAATTTTTAATAACAAATCTACCCGAAATTAACATCAAGTCATTGGGAGTAAACAATCGAGATAATCCATTTGTAGAAAAAAAGTATTTCCAACTAATAGTATAAGATGTTTGTTCAGAAAGTTTGTATTTTGCAAGACTATATGAGCATAGACTATTATTTTTTATAGTGGTAATAATAACGAGCAAAGCAAGATGAGATAGCATTTTTTTTTTACTACTGAATGTTCTTTTTTACAATTAATTACAATTAAGAAAAAAATTTTATTACACATCATTTTATTAAAAAAAATACTGCCAATACTTGACTATAAAATCATATACAGTCAAATGCAACACGTAGAGATTGGATTTTTAATAGCTTATATTTAGAGAACAATAAGAAAAATTGTATTTATAGATAGCTAAAGTTTGTATTTAAAAGGGTTGTATTTAGAGAAATCTGACTATATATATTAGACTCCATAAATACAATTTTTCATATTGTTCTCTTAATGCAAGTTATCAACTATAGATGTCACGGCCATCCTAGACAATCTAATGTATGCTCTAATAGACATTAATAAATGAATAATTATTGTTATTATCTTCAAGCCTTTATTCTCTATGCAAAGTTGGCATGTACAAATAGACCTTAATATCATCTTTCACATAATATTACCTACCTGTACACAGAGTTAGCAATTAGGGTTGCAGCCTAAACCTCTTTTTTGAATTATGATATTACTACATAGTTTGGTTTTAGGAATCAGAATTTCTACTTAATTTGGGTTTATAACCAAAATCAAAATATATGTCCCATTGAGATTAATAGTATCAAACTCGTGACTAGTCAAATTTGTTTAAATTAGCTACTAGGATTAAAGTGAATTTATGAAATATACTCAAATTTTAAAAATTTTGATACTGCTAGTGAGTTAATTTACTGTTTGTATATACTGTACATAGTAATGGAAGGAAATATTATTTATGATCAATATAAATCATGCTATAATAACTTGTACTAGACATATATAAAGTTTAATTGTTTTTCAATTATACATATGTCTAATTTTGAAGTGTCAAATAAATTTAGTGGTTAATATAGGTTAGATAGTGGAGAAAGATGGATTAAACGCGTTATTATTCTAAGTCAGAGAATTATGATGAGATTTGGGTTTTCTTTTGAAAATATAAACCCTACTAAAATCTACCTATACTCTTTTCTAAATAATTTTAATCCTAAAAGCAAAAAAATATATTTAAATTTTCATATCAAAATAGATCCAAATCTCATCATAATTCATGATATTAATTAAAGTGTGACATTTGATTTGACCTTAGGGGAGGATCAGAGAATATATATTTTCTTTAGGAGAGAGGAGTTCTGTAAAAAGAAATGTCTATATATAAATAGAGAAGGTAAGGGGGAAAGGTTAATTTTGTCAAAATAAAAAACATATTTTCTGGTCCTTCTCTTACAGAAATGAATTCCAAATCTAATTTTTACATATAAAAATTTGGGATTTTTAGCTATAATATACATTACATGTTAAAAATGTTTGACATTATGGCAAATCAGAGACATTTTGTGAAACTTAGTAAATACTATTTGGGCTTTTATCTAATCCCAAACTAGTAAGTTTGGGTCGCAACTCTATTGGTAATGGAGTTTAATAGAGCTTAATGGAGCTGCAAATGGAGCTAATAGAGCTCTGAATAGAGCCAATAGATACTAGTTTTTTGAGCTCTATTTACAGCTCCATTGAGCTCTATTAGCTCTATTACCAACTCTGCCTATACATTATTTCAAGTATATACATGAGTATTTTTTAAGATAATAGCAAATCATATAGTACAGAAAACAACTTATGTGATTAACTAATTTACATTGACCAAATATACATGTTACCTGTAATACCAATTAGCATTTTCATTCAATGAATAACAAAAATAAAACTTAATAGACATTAATAAATGAATAATTTTGTTATTATTATCACAGTCGAAATCAGTTCTGCAGCGGAAGTTGGTGCTCAAGATATGTGATGTGTGGTATAATGATAAAAGAATATCTGAAGTAGAGAAAGTGTGTTAGAATTGAGCAAAAAAAAAATAGTAATGTGTAATACTTATCACTTTGAATTAGTTATGCATCGATCTCATTATCATGTAGATCAATTATGATCATTGATCAAATAATGGGTAATTAATTAACTGAAATCAGATGAAGTAAAAATAAGATCGAATACTATGCACAAGAAATGAATAATTAAGATGAGAGTTAAATATAGTATAATTGATTATGATATAACTAATTTAAGAGTCAAAGAGTTGAATAAGTAATTATGATGTAATTTTATGTATATAAGAAACATAAAGAAAAATTAAAAAAAATTACCTTTTCATTTATGACCAAGTAAAATACTAAAATAGAAGTAACTAACCTAGTGATGTGCCATTTATATGATACCCAAATTTTTTTCGTGTACAGTATGTACAGTATGTATAGTATGTATAGTACATATAGTTGTTTCTTGTGATCTGATTAGTTGGGAAAATTCATCTAAAGTGATCGACAAGAATTTTCGCATATAGTACATACAGTATGTGTGTATAGTACATATAGTACTGTATGTAGTATATCACTAAACTTACCTCTTTGTGTTAAGACATTAGTGGTCGACCTTGTATTAAAACTGATAATCACAACTAGTAAGAGCCGCAACAATTATCTTCAGGCCTTTATTCCCATGCAAAGTTAACATATACAAATAGACTTTAATATCATATTTTCACATAATGTTACCCACCTATATGCAGAGTTAGCAATAGAGTTCAATGGAGCTCAATAGAGCTATGAATAGAGCTAATGGAACTCTGAATGAAGCCAATAAATACTATTTTTTTGAGCTCCATTCACAGCTCCATTGAGCTCCATTAGCTCCATTGCCAACTCTGCTTGTACATTATTTCAAGTATATATATGAGTATTATTTTAAGATAATAGCAGATCGTACAGTACAGAAAACAATTTATGTACTTGTCTAATTTACATTGACCAAATATATACGTTATTCTGTAATTCCTATTAGCATTTTCGTTCAATGAATGACAAAAATACAACTCAATAGATAAGCATCCATTAGATTTTATTTAATAACTGACAAAAATAGGCATCAATTGTTAAATATTGTAGGGGATGATGCTGAAACATGGATGATCATGAAACAAAGCATTTGATTAGTTAGGATTAGGTTCATTAGCTAATAGGATTTTTATATTTCATGATCATTCATATTTTAGCATCATCCCCAACAATTATTTATTAATGTATTTAATTTTAATGAACAGCATAATTATTGTTAACTCTGCTTCAAGACATATCAGCTGAATTTTTAATCTTTCCAGTACACGTGCAGGTTTTGTGGTATAGATTTCCAAACTATAAATCAGGTTTTAAGATCAGATGCAATGTGATACTGCTAGAAAGATTCAAAAAAATATTGTATTGTCAAAACTCTCTTATTTTTCAAAATTATAAATAAGAAACTATCATCAGTGCTCTAAAAAAAAGGTTTCTTCGAGTGAGTTTACTGTATAATTTGCTAACATCTAATACTATTGAACTTTATAAATTTTCATGATCGTACCTGCAATTTATTGCATAATAAATAATAATTATTATTTTGTAATCTTAGAATTTTATGAGCATTGTAAATATTATCATAGTCCCAAAAATGGTAATATGCAGGGTTTATGAAATTATAAACTTCTATAACCATGTTAATACATTTTATTTCAAAATGATTCTTGTAACTTACTGTATAGTCTCAAAATAAATAGACATTAGCATTATTTAAACATAGTACCTTATGAAAATAGCATAAATAATCTCATAATAATGTCCATACGCATCCCGAAATAATGCGTACCATATAAGTTTCAACTGAGTAGAAGCAAGTACATAATAATTTAAAAGAAGGTTTTGAAAAATTATCTTTATCTCAAAGTAATGCTTATATGTGTACTCTAAACAACATGTATATACTCAAAATAATATACAAGTAGGCATTATTTTATGACAATATAGTAATTAAATTAGATCTAGTTACTGAGAAATGCATTATTGTTACCATAAGTTCTTGAAACAATGATATATTATCTTGAATATCTGCACGTTATTCTAGGTATATACATAGGTATTATTCTGATTAACATAACAAGTTTTATAACAATAAAGTGTGAATTTTTTGTTGCATTAGTTAATTTTTGTAATTGATTTACTAATATATTAATATTATAAAGTGAAGGTTCTTCATGGAAGTATTTTATTATGAAGGTTAAAAAACATATGCAGAAATGCACATTATTTCAGGACACATATGAGCATTATTTTAAAATCATAAAAATTTGATTTTTGAAATAACGCCTATGCCCAATATTTCAAAATTTAAAATAGATAAATTCAAGAAATAATTTTTATAAATAAGCCCACTTTTTTTTTTGCCATTTGAATCTATCATTTGTAAACTTTGATATTTCATTAATATATCTTCAACTATTGCTACTACTCATTATGCTTCAGATATATAGACTTTTATTACCAAACGATTTAATAACAATGGTATCCTTATTGGTTATTCTTGTAAATTATGTCTATCTAGCCAAAAATATTATTCACTTAGCTGTACTATAACCCCATTATGTTGTCATCTACAAAAAATATATCTTAAAATCTACAATACAATAAAATATACCAAAAATGAATCAATTCAAATTACTCAATACTTTATTAACTGGATAATCTCAGATATTCAACCTTTTTCTGTTGTTAAAAATCCCCATTTCCACAAATTTATTAATCTACTTAACTCCAAATATAAAATACCAACGTGTCAAACTGTTAAAAACATTATCAGTAAAAATTTTAATATTTAATGGTCAAAACTTTGTAAAGATCTTGTAAAATATATTCTGGGAAAAATTGCATTAACCATGAATATTTGGTCATCAATGGTTAATGAATCATATCTATCATTAACTGCATATTATATTACTTCAAAGTGAGAATTAAAAAAGATTCTTTTAAATATAATTCCTTTAAATAAAAAACATACTACATTATATATTGCCACCCTTTTGCAGAAAGTTTTAAATGATTTTAATTTAAGCAATCGTGTAATAAGTTTAACAATGGACAATGAAACCACTATGGTAGCATGTTGTTCTCTATTAGCAAATGAATTAGACAATGAATTCAATAGCTTAGGCTTTTCACACTATTGTTGTTCAGCCTATGTAATTAATTTGGCTGTTCAGCAGGGTCTAAAAGCTATAGGATCAGAATTAAAAAAACTTCGTAAATGAGTTAGTAAACTTAAAGAATCGCCATGTCTAACTGATGAGATGCGAAAAATTTGTGCATCAAAAAATATTGAATATTTATCACCAATAATTGATATTAGTATGAGATGGAATTCAATATATCTCATGATTCAATGACAGCTTAAAAATCAAGATATAAGTGAGGTTCATTTTGTTAATAATAGGCAAGCTCTAATAGATATTTACTCTAATAAAAATGAGTGGATCCAGTTAAAAAATCTTGAACAACTTCTTCAACTGATATATGAATCTACAAAATTACTATCAACCTCAAAGCATCTAACAATTAGCAATATACGTTTGGCGTTTTTTGGAATGTTTGATATATTGAATAATTTTATTAAATCTAATTCCCAAAAAGAGGTTGCAGAATTAATTTATAAAAAATTAATAAGTTATTGGAAATTAGCTTTAGATGAAACATCTATTTATTAGCAGTTTTTGATCCACAATCTAAACTTACATCCTTTACTATTGAACAACTTGATAATGTCAAGCAAAAATTACAAACCATTTTTGCTATATATCAACAAACCAATAATCATTTGTTACACTCAAGTCAATAACATTTAAATCAACAACTTTTATCACGTCTATATTTTCAAAATATTTTAAGTAAAAAATTATATTTTCCAACTTACTATGTCGATGAAATATCCTATTATCTAAATAATACCTCTGAATTTGATACAGATCCATTATTATAGTAGAATTCACATCAATCAGAATACCTAATATTATCAAAGATAGCACATGATTATCTATGTATACAAGCTACAAATATAGCATCTGAACAAGAATTTTCTTTGGCTAGTCTTACGATTAGTAAAACACAAACATGTTTATTACCAGAGACTGTATGGGCTAGTTTATGTTTAAAAGATTAAATAGCAGGTGAGTATAATAAAATTCAAATTGATGAAAATGATTTGAATACTGTTATTAGTAAACACTATAGAGATTAATGAAACTCAAAAAAAAAAAAATATTTTACTAATCTTAATGATAAAGAGAAATAGTTAAAAAATTATTTTTTTAAAATTATTTTTTTAAAATTATTTTTTTAAAATTATTTTTTTTAATTTTTTTTTTAATTTTTTGGCTTTTTTTTCAAATTTAAATTTTTTATTTTTTTTATTAATATATACATCAATATAAGATAAATATATTTAGATTATTCTTGGTTTTATTGTGTTTAATATGATATTATCTATAGGTTTTTATTTCTGGTATTTAACATAATAAATATATCATTGTAATAGATTGAATTCATATATTTCGTATATAAATCAGGTTCCAATAACAATTTTTAGTAAAGTTTTTTTTTCGAAGAGAACATCTTTTAGCTATTTTTTAGAAAATATATCAGTCATTATGATATGTACATATAGCAGAATTAGTTACATACAATCTAAATCTCACATGATAATAAAAAAGACCAATTTGGACCGATCTTGGATTAGATCAATGGACTAATTTAACATCCCTAGTTACTCAGTATCGCTATAAAAAATTTCACCTTCACGTGTTCTACTTTAATCTGATTGGCTGTACACTATATATAATGATGTACATCAGTAAATTATTAATAATACTGTTATACATTGACGCGCATATTGGTGTATCATTATACAAGGTATTTACTATAAATATTAGAAATTACTTTACATTTGTCTTTTTTCTTGAGTATGTTGTTGCATATTGTTGTTGCTATAAAGTACTGTAAAAATAAGTTCGCCTTCTCTTATAACAAGTACTGATAATAATAATACACAAAAATACTACAAGGGATGTAAAAAAAATCTTCCTTGTAGTTTGTTTATAAATAATAATAATAAAATTTTTCTTACCTGTAATATGTGTCACACCCAAAACAAAAAAAAAAGTAAAAACTGATCAGAACTTGATAATAAAACAATTGTAGATTTTCATAACTTTTATGATTATATAATGCAATTTTTTAATCTATTTAACAGCAGTAACTTTGATGAAGATCAAGAAAATTTAAAATCTTTGGAATTTAAATTTTCTTGTACAATTAATATTTCTATATTAGAAGGCGATTCTAAAGAATGAACTAATAATATAATTGAAATTATATCAGATGCAGATAAATATAAATAGATATAAGTTTTAGAATTAAAAAAATTGCTATTTTTGCATTTGAATAAATGATATTTCTTTTAGCTAAAACCGAATTCGGTTTTTGCTATAAATAATATAAAAAAAAATTAAATATAATGTTTAATTTTTATGTTAATTATTATTTAGATATCATTTAAAATATAATGCCCAAAAGTCTAGTTCGATAACTTACTTTTATTATTGTTCACAAAGAAATTGTTTAGCTAAAAAGCCAAAAAAATATATTGATATTAATAAACATCATGATAGCAATCAATCGAGTGATTTTTTTGCAAAGGCCAAGTTACAATTACTATTTTTCAAGATCTTGCCCTTGCTAAAATAGAGATATATCATTACCTTCATCTAACTTGTTTAGATAATTCAATTTTTTTGAAGATAAAACAATATATTCTTGAAAATATTGATTTACTCTCTCATGAAATATATAAACATCTTGTAATGCAAAACTTAAATACTAATATATACCAAAAACAAATAGATTTTTAGTAGACCGAACTGGATAAAAAAAGATACAAATATAATGAAAACTCTTTTATTTTAATACAAAAATAGTTAACAGAGGAATTGCACCAAATAATAATTCAAAAGGAAACTCTACAAGCAATAGGATTTTTAACTGAAATCTGGAATATAATTAAAAATTTTAATATATGAATTGATAAAATTGGAGTTGATTCTATATGTAAATATAATAACTTATTATCTATATTATAAAATAATATATTCTATAATAATATATGAAGTCTTTGCTATATAAACATTAAAAATTATTTTATGGCAAAAACTTCATGTTACTTATAAATTTATTTTTTATTTTTAATATAGATAAAACGAATTACCTTAGATTTGAATTGTTTGCTATTATTGCTCAAATTGATAGAAATAGATACCTATTGGCTTATTTGTTTCTTGAAAATAATGGAAATTATAATAATAGAATTCGTACTGTTGTTTTAGTTGATTTTTTTTCTGAATTATATTTACTTGGGCTTAATCCTGAATTTTTTTTAACAGATAAGGATTTTGCTCAAATATCAGCTGTTAGATTTGTTTAGAAAGAAATTAAAGTTCAAATATACCTTTGATATATTAAAAAGGCTATCAAAACTAAACTTTCAAATAATACTAAACCAAAGCAAATTAATTATAATAGTCAAATAGCACATAATCAATTTAATTTTATTGATCTAGAATTTTGATCACAACTTAATATAACAAATTTTGTTTTTTGTCTTAAACAATTTTGAAAAACTATATGGAAAATAATGAACTGGCATTTACATCTTCATCCTTTAATATCTAATAATAATGGACAATTTTTAACAGCACAAGAAATTTGGACAATAGTAATACAAGAAATTTATATATTTTGTGACAAATATAAATTAAAGTTTCTCTAGATATATTTATAGAATGAATAATATAATATAGAATCCTGGAGTTTATAGTTACATGCAGGTCATAGTTTAAGGATTTCAATTTTTAAAACAAATATGTTTGTAGAAGCTTATTAGAAAGTACTAAAACATGATTTTTTGTATAAATTCTTTCGTCCATGATTAGATTTAGTAGTTTTTATTATTATGACACAAGTAGTTCTACTAATACAAAGAAAACTTTAATGAGTTTTAGATAGTATTGAAAAAGCAAATTAGTGTAAATTATTTAAAAAAGAATAGAAGAAATTAGAAACTTCTGTAATACAAAATACTTATTTTACTGATATCTCAAATTGGGTATATGGATGTTCCTCTTTTTTGACTAGTCATTTCTTTATTTGTAAATATCTTGTATTACAAAAAGGAACTATACCAGTTGAATTTTTTAATAAAAAAACTAATTTATACAATACATTAAACAACTCTCTCTGTAGATCATCTGGTTACAAAATTGAGCTAAAGGTTACTACATAGATAAACTATTAAACTCACTAATTAATACCTTTTAGCATATTAAGAAAAGAGATACAAAAAGCAAAATTATATATAGAAAAATAGAAGAATAGAAAAACCCAAGCTTAAAAAGTGACCTAAAAGAAGTTTTATCAAAAATTTATTGCAAGAAAAATTTTTTGCGAACAAAACTAGGAATTTCAAAATATCCTGAAATGCAGATTAATCACATAACACAAATACATACAAAGCAGGTAAACAAACAAACATGCTATTGAAATATGTATTACATGTTAAAAAGCAGAGATAAATCATACAAGACCAGAGCCAGACAGTTCATAGGCAAACTAAGTAAGTTTATAGGAAATTTTAAAAAAAAGTGAAGTCATTTCTAGAAACAGGATTTAAAGAATCTGAACAAAGAGAATAATTATCAAACAAAACATAGAGTATAGATAGAGCTAATAACTATAGATCAAACTAGGTAGATATGTAAAACAAAAAGAAAGTATGCAGACTCGTAGAGGTAGTATTTCTGCTATCATCTTATCTATATGATCTTCTAGACCTATTACTGATCTGCTACCTTCTGCTATTATTTCTTTACTGTATTCTTTAGTCACTACTTCTACAAGTCTACACGCTTTCTTTCTGTTCTACATATCTATCTAATTTAATCTATAATTATTAGCTCTGACTATACTCTATACTTTGTTTAGTGATTGTTCTCTTTGTCCAGATTCTTTAAATCTTTTTTCTAAAAGTGACTTCACCTTTTTTTAAAATTTCCCATAGGTTTACTCAGTTTGTCTATAAACTATCTGGTTCTGGTCTTGTGTAATTCGTCTCTGCTTTTTAATATATAACACATATTTTAATACTGTGTTTGTTTGTTTACCTGCTTTGCACATGTTTATGTTATATAGTTGATCTGCATTTCAG